AAGTCACTCTGGATTGCTGCTCGTAGGTAAGGGGCACTGAAAGTAAGGGCTTCATAAAGCTGCGTGGTAGTCATCCCCAACTTCTTCCCTATGTTCAGCAACATTCTGTCCATAAGTGTCATGAAGGCCTTCTGTCCAGCATGAATGGAGTCCTACCTCAGAGCAAGCTGCTTCATCTGCTCCCTCATCCTCATTGGAGTGTCCTTTTTGTAGTCAGCTAGTAGGGATAGTCCTGGGTCAGCAGTCTTTTTGGGTTTGAAGAAGTCCTTCACCATTGCTGTAGAAATAGGAGGGGTTGCTCTAATTTTCTGCAGGTAGTCTCCAAAATCTACCCCAGCATCTTGGCATAGCATGGTGATGATGGATGGAAAACCCATGGAATCTCTGCTCCTGCTCAAGATGTCCATGATGGCACTGCTGATTACCTCACCCATATGGATGGGCATGCCTGTCAGAATTGCATAAATAAGCTCTACTCTCTTCACTGCTAATGTAGAGGAGTGGAGGATTGGTATGAAAGAGCTGAGAATGAAGACACTCCAGACTTTTGCTGCAGGGATGAGGTGCCTTGTTGTCAAGTTTTTGGGCTGCATCTTGCAGTCAAATTCCCAATTCTCACCCTCTTTGCAGACAGATTCAAGGATAGGCTTGTAGTCCTTGTCCTCTTGGATGTTGAAGGTGGTGAAGTCCAGTTGGCCAGCTGATTTATGCACAGTTGGAATATTCAAAACTCTCTAGATGTTGGAGGGGGTGAAGTTAATCAGTTTTCCCTTCATCATGCTGTGTTTGGGAGGGACAGTGTCGCCTTTAACCCTCATTGCATTGGCAAAGAACTCTTGGGTGATTTTCTTCCACCCATTACCAGCACAGGTCGTGAAAAGGTCCCATCCTCTCCTCTGAATCTCCTCTTCAAATTGGGAATAGGTGCCTTCTTGAATTTCAAAGTTGCGGTCCTGCACCAACTTCCTTCTCAGGATGTTTGTTTTGAAGTATTCTTCATGCTCCAATGACTTGGTATAGAGTGCAGAGGAAGATGCACCAGCTATTTTGGCCCTCTTGGACCTTGGAGTGTTCTTCCTTGGTGTATTGACCATATTTGCTGTAGAGGAAAAGAGTCTGTGTGAGATATACATTTATATTATGCAACAACTATGTGTATCAACTAAAATAACATTCAACTGGATAGTGAAGGATTAAACCAGAATATTGGTGATGGGGTACAATGCCAAAGTGATCACATTATGGTTCAGGCAAGACAGCAGCAAGGCAACCAAATTTGAGATGGACAGTGATGCAGCAAAATGAAAATAAGTGCATAGAAATCAAACAAGTAGTAGCATGCCACTATGTATGACAACAAAGTGTCAAGAAAGATCACTTAGAGAATATAGGACAGTTTCTATGCAAGCAATTGACAAGGATGCTCATTTTCAATTAGCAGAGAGTAAATAACAGGGAATTATGCATGTGTGCAGTTAGGAGGACAAGTGATTGTCATAACACAAGGACAGATTCACAGACAATTGTATTCAGCCACAATTAAGTGGTTCTTTTGGATTTCAATTTAGAGTGGCTGTTGTAAGGCAAAATTCATGGTCCATATGCAGAGTAGTTACAAGGAAATGTAGCATGGTGTTGGGTTATTGCTGTTCATATGCACACACACTTGGGGATTTCAGAGAAAGTACAGTGAATACCTTAGAATGACAGTTATGCAGCAAGCACCATATAATCCAAGTAAGACAAGTTAAGTTATAATGAAACAGTGATTGTCATACAGAGATGGGACTATTTTAGTGGCCATTATATCAAAACATGCAAAATAATCACCACCAGGATTGAAAGTAGTTACACTATAATGCAATAAAGGCACAAGAATAGTAATTAAGCTAAGACAACAACTCTCAATCCCTTGTGATCAGACATGTGCCCTGCAAATAACAGAATTTACAACACAATTGTTATGTATGAACGGTTCAAGCACAGACAGGGTAGTCTCAAATTCTAGAATGTAGAAATGAAATAGAAGTACATATGTGTGCAGTAAAGTGAAAATGGCAATCTGAATTAACCAATATGCAACAAAGCAATACATCCAAAATCACAGTGAGAATTATAACATAGAAATTGAAAATTTGGAGTGCAAGTATACATGGTGTGGCAATTGTTAAGTGCTGAAATATATGTATATAATAAGAATTGCAGCACAGTGTTGTCAATGAAAGGCATGCACAGAAGAATGAATTATCAAGCAAACACACAATCTTAATTCCTTTCAATCAACAAGTCAGACTTTAAATAACAAAATGTTCAAAACAATTTCAGTGCAAAGGCTTTGAACAGAATTCCCAATTGACAGTAATCATCCAAAATGCATTGGGTGAAACTAAGATAACAGTCCAGACCCTGTGGCAATCATGTTAGCTGTAACACCTAACTTTGCCAAAATACTACCTTATAACTCTACAACTAAAGACTTCTATAAAATGGTGTACTAAAAAATAAGTGTAACCTGAGATTACTAAAGGAATCCCATATTATAACTAAAGGAATCTCCTTATTTCGGAGGCACTTAATTTTGCGATCGCCGATCCGGTGGGGTGTAACTTTGAAAGTTAAGTTCTCCTTGAGGGGTAGGTGGTCGACTTTGATAACATGGGATAGATCGGGAACATATCTCCTAAGTTGAGACACATGAAATACATTGTGAAGTTTAGACATGTTCAAGGGTAAGGCAATTTGATACGAAGATCCTCTTATCCTCTTAAGGATTTGGTAAGGGCCGATGAATCTAGAACCAGGCTTTCGATGCTTCAGAATTCAACCAACACCCGTATGTGTGGTGACCCTTAAGAATACATTATCTCCTTCCTCGAATTCCAGCGTATGCCTTCTTTTATCGTAGTAGTTCTTCTGTCTGCTTTGAGTTGCCTTTAGCTTTTCCTGAATATCTCTAATTTTCTCAGTAGTTTGCTGGACTATCTTTGGACCGATGAGTAATTGTTCTCCTGCTTCGTACCAACACAAGGGCGTTCTGCATCTACGCCCGTACAATGCCTCGAACGGAGCCATACCAATGCTAGAGTGATGACTATTGTTATAAGTAAATTCTATCAGTGGTAGATTTTCATCCCAACTTTTGCTACTCTCTAGGCTGCATACTCGTAGTAGGTATTCTAATGATTGGATCGTCCTCTCAGATTGCCCATCGGTTTAGGGGTGGTAAGCTAAACTAAGACGCAACTTCGTTCCCAGAGTTTGATGTAAACTCGTCCAAAACCTCGATGTGAAACGTGGGTCCCTATCAGAAATGATACTCTTGGGAATTCCGTGCAGGTGAACAATTTCTTTAATATAAAGTTGAGTCAATTTTTCCATAGAATATCTAGAATTTATGGGAATAAAGTGGGCAGACTTGGAAAGTCCATCTACGATCACCCATACCACATCATGTCCCGTTGACGTCCTTAGAAATCCCGATACGAAATCCATCACAATGTCATCCCACTTCCACTCAGGAAATTCTAGGGGTTGTAACTGTCCAACTGGTCGTTGATGTTCTATTTTAGCCTTTTGACAAGTCAAACATTAAGCTACAAAACTAGCAATATCTTTCTTCATTCCTGGCCACTAGAAATCTTTTTTAGGTCTCCGTACATCTTAGTCGATCCAGGATGGATACTAAATTGACTCCTATGAGCCTCTTCAAGAACCTTTCTTCTAAGCTCATCCTTATCTGGCACACAAATTCTCTCCTTGTACTTGATCAATCCGTAGTTATCTTTGCATATATTGGGTTCTCGCCCTTTCTCTTTGGCTTTCAATCTCCCTTGAAGAAATTCATCTCGCTCTTGAGCACCCTTGATCTGATCTCGGAATTGATTAGTCACTCGGAGCACTCCATAAATCAAGCTATTGGGTCTCACTTGAACTTCCAGATTAAGACTTTAGAATTGTTCAAGGAGTTCAAATTCCTTTACCATCATTGTTGAGGCGTGTAATGTCTTTCAGCTTAAGGCGTTAGCTACAATATTAGCCTTTCCAGGATGATAATGGGGTTCAAAATCGTAGTCTTTAAGAAATTCCATCCATCTCCGTTGGCGCATATTTAGCTCTCTCTGATAAAAAAGGTATTTCAAACTCTTATGGTCGTTGAACACTTCAAACTTGGACCCGTAAAGATGATGTCTCCAGATCTTAAGGGCGAAGACCACTGTAGCTAATTCAAGATCATGGGTCAGATAATTCCTCTCATGAGGACGCAATTGCCTAGATGTGTAGGCCACTACCTTCCGCTCTTGCATTAGTACACACCCGAGTCCTTGGTGAGATGCATCACAATACACTTCAAACTTCTCTTGGGGTTCCAGAAGAATCAATATCAGAGCCAAGGTCAATCTCCTCTTCAACTCTTGAAAGCTAGCCTCGCATTTTTTATCCCACACAAAAGGTTGATCCTTTCGGGTCAAACGGGTAAGAGGGGTAACAATCTTTGAGAACCCCTCAATGAATCGTCGATAATATCCGGCAAGTCCCAGAAAGCTACATACTTCAGTCACTGTCGTGGGCAGCTCCCAAAGTAGAACAGCTTCCACCTTGGACGGGTCAACCGCAATTCCCTCCTTAGAGATAACATGTCCCAAGAAATTTACCGCTTCTAGCCAGAATTTGTACTTTGAAAGCTTAGCATATAGTTCCCTCTCTCACAAGAGTTCCAAGACAATCTTCAGGTGCTGCTCGTGTTCTTCAGGACTTCGTGAGTAGATGAGAATGTCGTTGATAAAAACTACCACAAACCGATCCAAATAAGGGTGGAACACACGATTCATATAATCCATGAATATAGCGGGAGCATTAGTCACGCCAAAAGGCATGACCAAATACTCAAAGTGACCATATTGCGTTCAAAAAGTCATTTTCAGAATGTCATCCTTCTTGACTCGAATTTGGTGGTACCCTGACCTCAAGTCTATCTTTGAGAATACCGATGCTCCTTTTAACTAATCCATCAAGTCGTCAATCCGAGGCAGAGGATACTTGTTCTTAATAGTTACGTTGTTAAGCTGGCGATAATCCACACAGAGTCGCATACTTCCATCCTTCTTTTTGACGAGTAAAATAGGGGCTCCCCACAGAGACACACTTGGTCTAACAAACTGCTTCTCAAATAACTCTTCCAGCTGTTGCTTCAATTTAGCAAGTTCTACCGGTGACATTCGATAGGGTGCCATGGAGACTGGTCCAGCACCGGGAACCAAATCTATAGAGAATTTGACTTCTCTTTCCAGAGGCAATCCAGGTATATTCTTGGGGAAAACTTCTGGATATTCACGAACAATAGGTATCTCATCAATCATAGGATCATCCTTAGGGTCCTCAATAGCAAGAATTGCAAAAACTTGCGGTCCCACGTTCCTTGGAGTATGGGTACACTGAGCATCTTGGCCTTCTCAAGCCTCATCCTTGGTCCTTTTATCATTATACGGATTAAAAACTAATTTCTTATTTGGACAATCTAACATGACATGGTTGGCAGAAAGTCAATCCATACCTAGGATAATATCCAGTTCAGAGAGGGGTAGACAAATCAAGTCGACAAGAAATTCTTCACCTTCTAAACAAATATTACAATCACGACAAACAATGGAGGTGGCAATAGAGGGACCAGCAGGGGTAGAAACAAAAAGATTCCCGATCATAGGAGAAATAGGTAACTGCAACTGTCTCACACAATCATTAGAAATAAAAGAATGTGTTGGCCCTAAATCATATAACACCCTTAAAAAAACATCATTTATAACACACGCACCTTGGATCAGACCTTCCAAATGAGTGGCTTCACTACCGCTCATCGTGTACATGCGTCCCCTCATGTTAGGTGTCCCAGAAGGATTCCTAGAGTTGCCAGGGTTGGGCTGATAACGATTCCTCATTTGATTCTGACCTCCACTGTTATTGCGATTCCCAGTCCAGTTTCTTCCCTTGTCGTTTCCTCCCGCATCCTTTCGCTTCAGGTGACAAGAGAAGCTATAATGAGCCTGTTGACCACATCTAAAACAAGTCACAGGATTAAGACAACAATCTCGCTGGAAATGGGGTCCTCCACAGCTATAGCAACGTAGCTCAAGTTGACTCTGTCCTTCATGATCCAATTTTTTAATGCTAGAGGGATTTCTCCTTGGCTGATGGTCAGGATGACTCTATGGCTTCTTCCCATCTCGTATCTCCCTCCTCTTGAAGTCAGAACTTCCCTCACTCCTTTGGGTCCAGTATTCTTCCACGCAGCTTGTTTTGCTTTAGTGTCATCTTCATAGATCTAACACTTATCCACTAATTCAGGAAAATGTGCAATCTGTTGGTAGCCAATTGCTTGCTTGATATCAGGTCGAAGTCCACTTTCGAACTTGGAGCACCTAGCTCGATCATCAGCATGAGAAAAATAGAAGCAATACCTTGACAATTCATCAAACTTGGCCGCGTATTCCCTTACACTTGTACTTCCTTGCTTTAGGTTTAGAAACTCCAGTTCTTTTCTTCTCTTAAGATCCTCAGGAAAATAGTTTTCAAGGAATCTACGCCGAAAGGTTGGCCAATCAATCAATCCCATCCGTTACCAGTTGTTGGCGAGTGATTCTCTACCAATGTTCTACCTCGCCCACGAGCATAAATGCCACATAGACAACCTTCTCACCATCTGGACACGCCATGGCCTCAAATATTTTCTCCAACTCCTCCAACCAGAGTTGGGCTCCATCAGGGTCAAATCCTCCGCGAAAATGAGAGGGTTGATTCTTACGAAACTCAGATAATCCTCGGTTTGGAGCTGGCTTGTGTTGCCTCTCCAGGATACCTACCACTCTTTTGAGTAAGGCATCAATAGTCGCATTCCTCTGTCTCCAAGCCATTGAACTCTGAAAAATAAGTCACAGGCAAGTAAGACAGCAGGAATACCCTAAAGCTAAGAATCACCATAAATCAGAATAATAAAACCTAAGGCAAAACAATTCATCAATCAATTCACACAAGTATGGGTAGTTAGGACCATACCCAGGGCCGAATGGATTGAACTGCTCTGATACCACTAAATTGTAACACCTAACTTTGCCGAAATACTACCTCATAACTCTACAACTCAAGACTTCTATAAAATGGTGTACTAAAAAATAAGTGTAACCTGAGATTACTAAGTCAACATTATACCGAATCTACACAGAATCACGATCTTATCGTAGGAAAATAAACATCATCCTTAGGACCTCCTCTCGGTCTGCTCAAAACGTACATATTATTATGCATAAACAAAAATCCAATTTATTGTACAATTCTAATTAAACCGAGATAATAAACATGACAAGGTAATTTCACTTGAGATGGTCCAGCGCGAGATATATATATACATTTTAAAATTTCCTTAGCATTTATCAATATGTCTCTAAATTTTCCCAGAGTAAACGCATATAAATAGTGGAAGTAAGCGCATGATACCTTATAATCAGATCATAAAAGAAAAATTCAAATCCAAAACGAGAAGCATGTAGATAAAAAGAGTAAATTATTATAAGTCTTCCATTCAAACGATTCAAGGTAAAACTACTTAAAACCAAAAACTCCCAAAGTTCAGTATTTCAAAACAACCAACAAATAAAATAGAAAACAACCAAGTCCTATGAGCAGTATTCGTCCATAATAAAGTAAAACAGAAATCTACAAATAAAACTATAATGGAAAGGAATCCTCACTACGGTCGGATTCCATTCTATCAGAATTGAGTTCATCGTTTACGGGCTGAGGGTGAGGTGAGGGCGGCAAATCGTCCGGGTCGCTGTCGATCCATCCAATGGTAGGCGGTGGTGATTGCGAGGTAGGTGGTGGTGGTGAAGGGCATCGGGTAGAAGGTCCAGCTTCCTCGGATAGGGGTGCTCGAATGCTGAGAGAATGACGGGGTACAAGCCTGATGAAAGACTCAACAACTTCAACGTCTTTCCACTCAGGTGCGGGTGCAGGAGCAGGGCTAGGACAAGGGGTAGGTTCAGGATCAAGGTCAATGATGGTCTTACCTTTATCGACAAAAGTTTTAAGTCCTTTGGCTGGAGGTTCTTGAGACAATGGAGAAGGAGGAGGTGAATGAATAATAATACTCCGTTCAGGTGGTAGGGGTATGGAGATTTCAGTAAAAATGTGGTCATTCCAGTCTGGCTTCCATCCGTCTTCAGCGAGAGGTCCCAGGGACATGGAGACCATCCCCTGATACATGAGGCGGCGCGTTGCTGGGTCATAGATCCATCCCTCCTTCCCTCTGGAGTCCTCCCCCTAAACTCTCGCTCGGATTGGATCCATCTGTCACGCAATCATGCAATACACAAAAAACACAATAACAGAGCAAGGATAGAAAAGGTGAGCTCAAATACAATCATTCATAAAAAATTGAATAAGTAAGAAAAGATAGCATCAAAATAATTACCAATTCCTAGTTCAGTAAAAATATAGTTATAACAGAATACCCATCAAACAGTCACCAAACGCAAGTAAAGTCAAAGGATTCATCATAGCATAATTGAAAACAAAGATACCCAAAACGTTACTACTTCCTCCATTCGTTCCCAGCCTCTTCCCAGTCAAGATGATCGAAGGCCCTCATTCCCTACAAGCACACTTTATACATAATCTATCAGGGACATTTTCCCTCCTTTACAATTTTGATTCCTCAAGAATGAGTCCTTCCAGATCCTGGTAATGCTTGCTCGCATCACGATTAGTGGAGGCTTTGATGGCGACGTGTCCCAGCCACGGTGAGCTATTCCGCACCATTGGGGCAACCCCCCTCCACTACCCCCAAGGTTCCTTCCTTGAACCTGAACACTCACATCCCTTAGCTATGCTAAACTGTGACCTTGACTCTCCATCCTTCTTAACATGCTCATAAAACATTTTCGTAATAGCGTCCTCCTCACGCCATTTTTGGAGCACGCATTTTATTCTTAAGGGTCACAAACCACAAAATCAATTCACGCTCATAAGAGCTAGCACGTTCAATGAAAAGAAGAACCATTCGTTCACAGTCTAAGAATAAAAGAAAAAGAAGGGAAAATGGATATAAATAAATAATTTCATTGAAACATCATAGTTGGAATGAACCTTCGCAAACAAAATGATCATTAAAGAATCATGGGAACAACCACAAGTTTAATCACACATGCAACTCATTTCTACCACAAATTCTTTTCGTAAAATAGTGATTAGATAGTAGGAGAATTCTTTCATGGTTAAAAAAAAAGTTCCTTGGTCATACAGAATCATCGGAGAGGAAAAAGATGAGTAATTTCTCAGCCAAAAAAAAAGAAGGGAGGGTAGTGGACGAAAATCGAAAAGAACACAAGGATTCATAGAGTTATTTTAACATGCATTCGGATATTCATCAAAGTTACCAACTTTATTTAGTAATGAGGGCAAACAAGAAAGAATCGTGTAAGGTTTTCAATATCATTGACATGTGATCGTGAGTGTCGCTCTCGAACAAATTAATAAAAATTGAATTGCATAAAAATTATGTAGTAAGTGGTGCATTCCGAGTCGTCTCCCAACAATGATAACGTTATACGATTATAAAATTTTTAGAGGGGGTTTGATTTATAGAATAACTAATTAGAATCAAAAGTTAAAAATAATTAAAAACTCTAATCCAAGAATTTAGAAGAACTACGACCACTCTATCACCAGATTCCAAGAAGATGCATCAACCAACAAATTAATGATTAACATTAAATTCGAATGAAACCTCAATTCAAATTAATCATTCACACGAGAACCCTAATGCATTCGATTAACACACAATTCACTCAAAGTTCAGAAACCTCAAGAACCTAATCGATTTGTGTTAATTTAATTCACCAATGCCATTAATCTTAGATCTCAAACCTGAAAATCTAATTCACACTCCTTCAAGAATTAATTACATACATCAACCAAATAATATGTAATCAAACAGCTGCGCAATTATCAATCCAAATGAAGAACTTCAATTCGAAATCATAATTAGCAAAAGAAGAAAGAAGGAAGAGATGAAACTGAATTTGTTGTTGAATAAATTACGAAACCGATCCTCAAGAGTGTCTTAGCCCTCTTTCAATCCTTGGACTAGATGGAAATCTAAGCCTTCATGGATGGAGGGAAACAAGTCGTAAAAGGAGAGAAAAATAAACGAAAAAGAGAAGAGAGGAGAAGAGAGGAGAAGAGCCAAAAAAATTAAAATTCAAAATTCAAAATTCAAAAATTATGTTCGTCACTTTGTTCCTTTTTTTTTACTTTGAAAATGGCCTCTTTTTGGTTTGTGGCCTGAAGGGCAATTGTAGCCTTGGATGTTAGCTTCAAAACACCACTAGAATGGGCTTAATCGGATGTCTGTGGACTGAGATATGGCCCAAATACTGCACCTTGCTCAGGATCTGCGACTGCAGCATTTCAACTTTTTCCAGGCCCAGTTTAAGCTTCTTATCATCAAAATTGGTTTCTGACCTCTTCATAGAAATTGTGCACCATTCTCTTAGCTTTCTACAAATGAAGAATCACAATGAAATAAGTTCTACAACTCTAGATATGGTCCAGAAACCAAAACAGTATAAGAATTTTCTGAATACTGGAAAAATTAAATAAAGCCCAAATAAAATTCAAACATCATAAAATGATCCAATTCAAACCAATTAGGCACAAAAGAGGATTAATGAGCTAGGAATGAGAGGAAATAAGGTTATAAAAATCCAATTGATCAAATTCCCCCACACTTAGCTCTTGCATGTCCTCATGTAAGACACAGTCAAACAAATAGAAACATGTAACCTAAAAATCGCAGAATATTCAAAATAAATAAATTCACTAATGAATCCTTAGAAGTGCTGAACTTAGGAATACAAGATGAAATAAAGCATTAAGAGTTCTACAACAATCAAACATTTAACTCCCAACCTCTCCGAAATGCAAGCTAAGTAATATCATTCAAAGTGTATAGATCAAGCATGAAAGATCTCACAAGATGGTGTATACAACTCAACTCTCAAGTGTATGGTTCAAAGTGTTTCACTCAAGTCACCTCAAAAGACAATGCATTACCATAAGCTTGTTAATCTTCTACTTCTCCACTACTTACAATCATATGCAAACACAAATCAAGAGGGCTTTATTCAATGGTTGTAATGGGGCTAATGTAAGGGTAAGGAAATATGAGGATATGACAAGATACAACCGAAGAGAATAGGAATAACATTGGTCCTTAGACAAATCAAGCCATAACACACATTTACTTTCCTTGGACTTTTTTTTTTATAAAAAATTCTCATTTTCTTTGTAAATTTTGTTTTTATTATTATTATTTATTTTTTTCTCTTTTTTTTCTTTTTCTTCATTTTTTTTCTCTTCTTGCATTCTTTCCAAACCCCCACACTTGAAATGCAATAACATTAATGAAACCAATGCACTCCCTATTCCCTAAGGTTAGGTATAACATGGTTTTCCACTTAAAGCTTATAATGTGCTAGAAGCCAAAGAATGGTCAATAAGGCTCAAAGGGGCTAAACAAAGGGAAAAATGCAAGGTAAGCTATATGGCCAAGTGCGT